TCGAATTTCCTTCCATAATAGCTAACCTATTTCAAACTTTGCAGTCATCATCATCCAAGCGAATGACTGCATTCTTATTAATGTAGTATGATGGGTGTTATTCTCACTTTCAGGTGAACCAGTCATCATTATCTTTGAGGAATGAATCATCTTTAACTTTGTTGTTTCCGAGTGGTATCATATGCACAAGTGGTTAACTAAAACTTATTCGGTAGAGTGGGCAATGATTAGTAATGCATACACAGCAGAACTAGTGATGACGAGTAATCCGAGCTTTCACTATATTTGCCTTCGACGAGGAACAAATCAACGAGTTTAAAATTTATCCCTGTACACACATTCTCCGTGCCACGTTATTCAATTCTTGAATTGCTGTCCCAGATTGGTTTCCTTACGAGTGTCACCTCGTGACATTGATGATTAAAGCTAATTCTTAAATTTGCACAGTTCAATGAATTTCACCAAGAGTTTTGAACCAATGCATGCTCAAGATTATTTCAAATATATTGCTAGGTAATATCAAGAAATCTAATGTAAACATTTGTTCATTGAACTTCCTAGTAATCAACAACTTATTACCGGAAGCAACTATCACTTGAAAAATCTTTGATAAACTATGTTTTCGAGTCCTAACGACTTGACTCTGTTTGTAACTAGTGTCTATAAGAAAAGTTACGATCTATTCTTTGATAATTCCTTTGATTTTCAATGTATTACTACGCGAGCATTCCATGTAAAGTATTAAGAGAGATGTAGACGTCTACGACTTGAATCATGACTATGTTAAAATAACTTTTTCATCTATGGATAACTTTCCCACATGTAAAGTTTGCGGTAATTCAATCAGCAATAACTTTCCCACATTTATTCCACTAGTCTTAGTTTCTAATTCAAGAATTTGTTCGAGCATGTGCCATTTAAAGAAAATTGGGTGTTCCATAACGAGATAACTTGAATCAGATATGTTCGAGACTTATTTATGATTATCTGATCGCTACGGAGGCACAATTTACGGGACGAGTGGGTGAAAATATTATGCAGATTTTGTTTATCAAAGAAACTGAGTTTTTGATTCGAATTGGCCTATCAAACTTTAATTAGATGTTATAAATCTTGTTTTCGAACCTAATTAATCGATTGATCAACTAATTATCTATTAATTTCATTTTTCCTATTAGGTTTGAAAACGATTCATAGTGAATTAATCGATTGGTTTATAAAAGAATCGATTAGTTTGGTATAGAATGTGATCAATAAAATGACACCAGAATTTAAACCGATTAAAACGTAAATGAATCGATTAATTTTGATACCTAAGTGTTTTTAGTTGATATACTGATTATTATAATCGATTAAAACATTTAAACCAAAATCCCGAGATCAGTTCAATCGATTATTTCGACATTTTGATCGATTAAAATGGACAAATGTTACGTAAGTTATTTTAATCGATTAATATTGTTATATATCAATTAAAACAATTAGTTTAAATACTCGGAACCTGATTTCGCGACTCCGATCTTCAAGGGATTCCCGGACTTGTTCCTGCAAAACAAATTAAGAATTGTTACGGTACCCTTTATAATTACTCGGGTCCTGATCAAGTTATTTGAAAGGAATTAATCTTTGGAACCCATTTCATTCTTCCTTTAGGTACGGCATATTTCTTAATTCTGCAATATTTAACGAGTGCCCTTTTTTCATACAGTAAAAGCATTTGATAAACGGAGATGAAACAGTTTTACTATATGCAAAATAATTTTTGAAAGCTCGGTTTTCTTTCCAATGGCTGGTGTATAACCTATACCACCACGTTCAATAACTAATTTTTGGGAATTAAGTATCTTATCAAGATTATTTTTTCCTTGTGCCAATTTAGATGAGGTTTTTACTAGATATGATACTTGTTTCGTAACTTCGGGACAGTTTTTGCAATCTTCAATATTACACATGCAATCAGTATCATTCTCTAATTCTAACTTTTCATCCTTAGTTTCTTCATCGGTTATTTTCTTTTCAAGAAGAATGATCTTGTTTTCTAAAAGCCTATTCATGCTTTTCAATTTTCTATTTTCAGTTTCTAATTTCTTTGCTACTGCATGTATTTCAAGGAAAGCATCTTGTAATGAGCTATAGTTCATAGATTCAGAACTTACACTCGGTATTTGGTGATTCCGAGTTGACCATCAAGCATATTTCGGTGCTTCTTCATAGGTCTTTTCAAGAATCTTCCACATTTGTGCAGTTGTTTGGCAATGTGCAATCCCGAAAAGATCATTTTTGTTAAGGGCAGATAAGATGATATTCTTGGCAATACAATCATCTTGGATTACGTTAGCAATATCAATTTCCTGTTCAATAACATTCCAAGCATTTATACTAACAGATTCAATGAAGATTTTCATCCTTATTTTCCAGAATAGATAATCTGTTCCACACAACAGTGGAGGTCTATCAATGTACGCTCCCTCAGAAAATGCCATGGATCGAAGTAACTTGAGTAACTTTCAAGCACCTCGCTCTGATGCCAATTGTTAGAAAAGTAGTTTTAAATCAAGAGGGGGGGTGAATTGATTTTTGAAAGTTTTTCACAATAAACATATTATCTAATTCGAAAATTAAGTTTACTAATCAATTCACGAATCACAAAGCAATTAAACAATACAAGCGCAACAACTGAAATTAAAGAGAGAAAGGTTAGGAAAGATTTCACCAGTAATTTTATACTGGTTCACCCAATACCAGGGCTACGTCCAGTCTCCAGCCAAATTCCAGCTGGGTTCCACTAGAATAGATGTTTTACAGACTCAACAATTTTACACCTACTCTAACACAAGAACCAACTTCCAGTTCTTGCACTCAACCTTTCCACCAAGAACCAAATTCCAGTCCTTGGAAACCTCTCGCAACCAAATTCCAGTGCAGAGAAACCAGTGCCCAAATTCCAGGCACCACACAGTACAAGAACCAAATTCCAGTTCCTATACTCAACCTCTCCACCAAGAACCAAATTCCAGTCCTTGGAAACCTCTCGCAACCAAATTCCAGCTGCAGAGAAACCGAGTGCCCAAATTCCAGGCACCACACAGTACAAGAACCAAATTCCAGTTCTCGTACTCAACCTCTCCACCAAGAACCAAATTCCAGTTCTTGGGAACTTCTACAACCACCTACCAGTCCGAGAAAACTTGTACCCAAATTCCAGGTACAACACAATACAAAGAAATGAAAAGCAATTGAAAAGAAGAGACTTAGAAAGCTCAAACCGGATTACGCTAATCCACGAGTAAGTTTCTTCTTCACAGAATGCAATATGCCTCAAGAAAGATTTCAAAAAGAACTTCACAAAACAGTTGTAATTCTTTCTTGGAAAAAGTATGCTAACAGTTGCTTGAATTGATTGCTTTGTTTTTTTGTGTAAAACTGATATTCAACCTCTGTTTAAAAGTTTCAAGCAAAACTGTTTTTAAAGAGAATTTTCAAATCTGCTGCATTAATTAATCTGTTGAAAGTTTGTTTTAATCTGTTGAAATAGCCGTTATAATCTGTTAAAAGTCCTTTCAACCCATTAATGCGTTCTTGTTCTTTAACAAAATTGTTTTAGCTGATACGACCACGTTTTTATCAGTTAAAACATTTTACAAACATTTTCAAAGAGTAATTCAATCGATTGATTCGCGTATTAATCGATTGATTTGCTTAAAAACCTTCTTATAAAACTTTCCAAGTTATTTTAGCCGATATAAAGTCGTTTTAATCGATTGAAAATCTGCACATAAATTTTCAAGTCTTTTTAATCGATTGAAAGTTCGTTTTAATCGATTGAAATAAATCTGATCGGTCATAATTCAATTCGATCGATCATAACCAACTCGATCGGTCATAACTTCATTCGATCGATCATCCTGACTTCCAAAGTGGTTTTAATCGATTGAAACGTGTTTTAATCGATTAAAATAAATCTGATCGCTCATTTTTAAAGTCTGATCGATTATATTTCATTCTGACCTGTCATATTCGAATTCTAATCGGTCATAAAGGGTTTTAATCGATTAAAAGAAGTTTGAATCGATTAAAATACTGAAAAAACACTTCTTTACGCATTCTAAGTGATTTTAATTGTTTCTTTTAAAACTATATCAGTTAAAAACATTGTTAAGAAAGTTCTTTGTCAAAATGCTTTTGTTTGATTTGTTTAAAACTATTTTTGAGGCATTTTGCAAATTGAGTGAAGGAGCTTCATGCAGTGGAAAAGGTAAAGTGGTTTTACCTAAGCTTTCTGTTAAGACACACTAAGTCTTCAACTCCATTCTTCTGAGTGACTTGTTTGACTGTTGCAGAGTTGACCTTTGACTTTATCTTTGACTTCATCAAATCAATGAGATCTTTGCTAGTATCACTTTCAGTTCATCTATAAAAGAGTGACATAATTAGCTGAATGATAACAACTAAAAATGAAACTAAAATATACGTAGTCTAAAATAAATTAAAATCATTACCTATAACATTGACAGTCCATACTCTACTAGACTCGCGTCCTACACATGATTGTTGAGTAGTATCCATAGAAGAAGCCACAGGAGGGGGGATATGTGGCAATGTAGACATAGGTGGTGGAATGTGTGGTTGTGGACTAGGAGCCACAGGAGGGGGGATATGTGGCAATGTAGACATAGGTGGTGGAATATATTGATAACATGAATATATTCTACGAAAACTGAAGAATATATTCTACGAAAACTCATTGAAATGCTACCGGAAAATTTCACTATCAAGCATGGTTTTAAAATACAGTTAATGTTCATTAATTAAATGGGGGATGGAGGAGGGAGACTGCCAATAAAAGAAAAAATTAGACTTCAACCAAGCTCGTCTTTTGTTTTAGTTTTTTACCGACCAAGGTCAAAAAATCGTGTTTCAGACATTATTTTCAAATCTTCAAGTAATAGCAAACTTAGGCCCCAATAAACTATAAAATGCAAGAAAGTGAAATGCATAAACTAAGCGAGTACATCAATGTACAAGCGAAGCTGTATTGAGGATTTCATCACATGAAACAACAAACACCTCATAAATAAAAAAATATACAATTTATAGGTAACAAACAGATGCATGTAGTAAAAATTGAGCACGGTTAAGCTAAATACCTGTAGTGCTCGCTTCTGTAGTGGCCTAGGTGCAAATGGAAGGGAATGCAAAAGCACTAACAAAAGTTGTGAATGCTCAAAGCGATGACCGAGAATCATAAAAGTTTAGCCCATCCTCGGAAGAAGAGGCATTAATCTGAAATGGAAAGAAAATGAAGGAAACATGAAAACATTAGCAAATGACAAGAGTATTACCATTTAGCAACTTGATCACCTAATCACAATTTTAAACATGTTTAACCAAACATTCAAAGAGACTTGACGACTTCTATGTTATTCTTTTGTTTGCATTGTGTCATGGTTAATGAGAGGAAACTTTACACTAATATTAGCAAATCTCCTTCTCCCATCAACTGGTACGTTTCCTTTTCTTAAAAGAATTAAAAAGAAAAATGCGTCAGTTGATAGTAAAGGACACCCCAACAAAAGATCAAGTATTGAGAAATTAATTCAAGATTCTAGAACGGTCACTATCACAAAAACATGGGAGTTAAAAATTTGCGAGACAAAAATGTGAAACAAACAAGACCAAAGAATTTTGAAAAATGACATGCATGACTTGAAGCAACAATATGAAAGTGACAATAAATTCCATTAACACGAAGCTGTGACATGTAATGAGTCAACCTCTTTAGTTCTTCACATAGAAATGTAGAATGTATAATAATTTAATATCTTGATAATGCTTCACCTAGATTTGTTAGGGATAGACACCAAGGACAAGAAGACAAGCATTAATCAAAGAAGAGAGACAATGAGAACTAAGGTTGATATCTTGAGGAAATGAGTTTCGAGTATAACAAATACCTTTTCGGAGAGCAGTTGGCCAATCAATGTTAGAGGAAGGCAAAGATCCAATAAAGATGTCACCGAGAAAGAGTATGGCATGGCCTCTCTACTATATTGTCACGAGCCAAACCAGGGGCTAGTGTAGCAATGATATTAAGGCATTGGCGACATTAATGTCTAAAGAGATTACATGGTTGGTAGCTCCGCATGATCATCTTGATGCACCACTAGGTCATTTTGAGAAAAAGATGAAAGTGGAACAAGAGCAGGGATAACAAGAGGGACAACAGATGATATGTCAAAGGAGACTGAGTAGACCGAGAAAATGAGACATTAACCGAAATAAAATATCCTAGAAGGGTAGGATATAAGTGTTGATAACACTTTTGTGATTGATATAACCTAGGAAGATGTCCGTGGTGAACCATGGCATGAGCTTGTCAATCCCCGAGTCATTGTGAACAAAGCAAATTGAGCCAAATACACAAAGAGAAAATGTATAAAGTGGGGAATGAGGAAAGAGTCCAAAATGGGGAACCTGCTCATTTAAGACAGGAAGCAATGTAGTTGATAAGAAAGCAATTCGTTAGAACAAAATAGCTCTGAAAACATAGGGAACACTAGTGAGGTGCTATATAAACTTAACTAAAAATACAAACTCAAACGAGGAAACTGGATGCAGGACCAAAAACCGCATAATAACTATCCAACGGCGTAAAATCTTAGAAGTAATTGTACCCTTGCACCCTACCGCACCAGAAAACTCCCCGTCTCCCTTATCCTGCGCACTCTGCCACTGCCACTGTGACCACAATGGCGGAAGTGCCCGAAACCAATCCCCCACCGCCGGACCCTCCAATCCCCTCCGCACCGGACGCCGCGGAGGAAACGGCTCCGCCGGCTGCAGCAACTGCATCGCAGCCGAGCATCGATATCGTTGCCCCTCCGGCGTTAGCTCTGAAGCGGCAACGCTGTCCGAGTGTCCGTCTTGGAGAGATTGGAGACCAAAAACAAAAAATGATATTAAAAGTTTCGTACCCGAGGTTAAGGAAAAACAAAAAACGGTTGAATGTAGATTGCCATGCGTCACACAGATAAGAGAAGGAGAAATTAACATATATACTGTAAATTGAAGAACAAATGATAGATAAAACTCTTGTAATTTTCCACAAAAATCACAAACATGTGAAATTGAAAAGTAAAACATAAGAAGGATTAAACCTGAATTGGTGATTGAGAGAGGATATGTGACCTTGCAGTGAAGGATGAAACGTTACAGTGAAAGATGAGTGTGAAAATGAATGAAACGGTAAAGAGAGAAAGAGATAACGAAGAGAGAAAGAGAAGGTAGAAGAAAGTGAGAGAATGAAAAATGAAAAAAAATAAAAATAAAATAAAAAAATTTAAAATTAATTATAATTATTGTGTCAGTTAAATTTTTTGTCATAAATTACATTTAATTTTTACGATTTTTATAACTACTGAAAATAAACCTCTAATAATTATGAAGTTTTTTGTAGTGGAAAGAGTAAGTAACATAACTAAATATACTTTATAATACCTATAATTAAAAATATATTCAATTTATAATTTTAGTTTTAATAGTTTTTTTCATATAATAGTTCATACTTTGGAAGATCAGATGTACAAAATTTTATTTTTATTTTATATATTTTTCAATTTATATTCTAAAAGAAATTATATTATCTATATTCACGTAATAAAATAAATTTCATCTGTGAGAAATGTAATAGTAGCATATATAATATGTTTTTAGTTTATTAATCAAATAAATTAAATAACTCAGTGGTTTAAAGTTTTTGGCTAAGAAAAAGGCAGGTGTTCTTAAATTTTTTATTTCTCATTTATTTTATCTTCTTCTTTCAAAATCATGCAATTTTAACACCTTATTATAAAAAAAATTATATATTTTACTATTTGATTTTCAAATGTTCAAACATTTTACCTCTCATTACATGTCAGTATATAACACTCTTAATTTCAACAATAATTATTTTTGTCAAAAAATAAATAAAGGGAATATAAAAATTTTCATTTATACTATAAATATTAAAATCTTAATATTTATTTATTTACAATTTTTTTATTTTTTTAAAAGAAACAAAAAAAAAGAACTTTGTCTTTTGAAATATTAATAAATAATAACATTAAAATAAAAATATTTTTTTAAAATAAATTATAAGAATACTGAGAACAATATAATAATTAAATTATCTTCTGTTATGTAATTAAAATAATAAATTTGTTTACACGTATCTCAAATTGAGAAAATTATGAAAAGTATGAAATTTTCTAATCACAACATTGCTACTTAACCTTAATTTCAACTAGTTATTAAATGAATAAGTATAAGGCCATTTTCATATATAGAATCGAGGTTTGACTTTTTTTCCTCTTAATTTTCATGTTTACTTTTTTTTTTTTTACTTTCTACAAACTTTGTTTCTCTTAAGCTTTATTTTCCATAGAAGATAAATTCTTTGGAGATAGTTGTTATTCCATTCTCTCCTTTACATAATTTGTATCTACTTAAAGTAGAGGGAGAATGAAGATTAATCCCTTTATCTTTATTATATTTACTTTTACAATGAATTTTATATTTATTGGTTGTTCTAAAATTGTTGTAACTGAAAATTTTTCTTTTGAAAATTGCTTTTATCATGATGATATTTTTTTAATATTTTTTATTAATTTAATCATATCTCTTAAAAAAAACTACAAATTATGTTTACCCAAAACTTGAACAAAAGTTAATAAAAACTTGTAACTCAAATATTACTCAAGAAAATGATAGGAAACAAGTTTTTTTTTTTAAACTAAACTAATTAAACAATCTTTTATGGCAGACTTGGAAATCACTAAAACTCATTTTAAAAGGATTGTGAACCACTAACACTAGTACAAAATAGGCTTTTAACATCGGTTCCCAGTGACTTTTAACATCGGTTCTAGAACCGATGTAGATACGACCGATGTAAAAGTGTGACTTTCCACATCGGTTGTAAAGAACCGATGTAGAAAGTCTAATATTTTTATTTATTCATAACCCTCTCTATCTCCCTTTTTATATTATATTTTTATTATTTATATTTTTTAGGAATTTGAATTATTATCGGATTAAGAGAATTGTCACTGGCAAGACATCGGTTGTAAAGAACCGATGTAGAAAGTCTAATATTTTTATTTATTTATTTTTATTTATTCATAACCCTCTCTAATTACCTTATCTATCTCCTCTACCATCATCTCCCTTTTTATATTATATTTTTTAGGAATTTGAATTATTATCGGATTAAGAGAATTGTCACTGGCAAGATTCGAACCCAATACCTTAGAGTCGAAGACTGATACTCCAACCACTAAGCTACCAAGATTTTCCGATAATAACTTATACATAAATTATATTTATATACAAATAAAAATGTATATCCATGTAAATATATAAATATAAAATATATAAATACAAATATATTTATATATTTATATGTTGGATGTGAGGACGCGCTTGAGGATGAAAGTGTGTGTCGAGTGAATTTTCAAAATTTGATGTCAAATTTGTGAGCGGGTCTCTTTATATGGATTATAACTTAATGACAAAATATAATCTTTATAATTTATTTATATAATGATATAAAATAATTTTTTTTCTTTATTTTATATCATTATATAAATTAATTATAAAGATTATATTCTATATTATTATAAATAAATTATAAAGATTATATTCTATCATTAAATTACAAATTCATATAAAGATACTTGCTCACAAATTTGACATCAAATTTTGAAAACCCACTTGACACACACTTTCACTCTCGAGTGCGCTCTCACATCCAACATATAAATATATAAATATATTTGTATTTGTATTTATATATTTTATATTTATATATTTACATGGATATACATTTTTATTTGTATATAAATATAATTTATGTATAAGTTCTTATCAGAAAATCCTGGTAGTTTAGTGGTTGGAGTATCAGTCTTCGACTTTAAGGTATTGGGTTCGAATTTTGTCAGTGACAAATCTCTTAATTTTATAAAAGACTTTCTACATCGGTTCATCCGGGAACCGATGTAAAAGTGTTTTCTACATCGGTTCATCCGGGAACCGATGTAAAAGTGTTTTCTACATCGGTTCATCCGGAAACCGATGTTGAAAGTCTTGAATTCACTTTCTACATCGGTTCTTAGAGAACCGATGTAAAAAGGCCGATGTTAAAAGTGATTTTTGTACTAGTGTAAATTGGTAATTTTCTGTTGAAAAGTTCATGTTATGTGACTTTAACTTTAATAATTAATATATCAACTGAAAATGATATTTTAGTTAATTAAATATAATAAAAATAGATTCAATAAGATTTTCAATATATGATTTGTAATTTTATAATATAATTTGTTATTTTAAATAATTTTTTCTTCCATAATGTCTAGTTTAAAAAGATATATATGAAGTGCTTAATTTGTTTGGATGCAAGACGTAGTAAGGGAAGTGTTTGGAAACAGTAGAGATTTTAAAATAATGCTTCCGTCGACCAAACATGAAATTAAATGTCACAAAGCTTTGTTAAATTTGTAAGAAAACTAAATATAAAAATCCATGTCTTATGTTTACTAATATTGATATTCATTTGAAGAACGAAATCATTATTTATGATATGAAGGTATATACACTCCTATAATTCCTTTGGATGAAAAAAATATTAATCACATAAAGTTATAAGATTTAAAGTTATATTCATAATGTGAGATAGATTTAATATCATTATTTATATGCGATTAAAACTAGATAAAAAAATTTCTATATATTCATGTGTTTTTGAAAATAAGTATCGTCGCATTATACATTATATATTTATAAATAAATTGTCGAAAGAATTTATGAAATTATAATTTTTTTTTCTAAAAATAATGTCTTTATCTTATATTTATTATAATAATTTCGTTAAGATGAATGAGCATTTTGAAGATCTAATATTTACGATTTTATTTTAAAAGCATACAAGATGAATTTAAAGAGAATATATATATATGAAAAAAATTATATAAGATATATCTTCTTATTTCCTTGCTGCATGCAATGCAACCTTTGGAAAAGGGGCTAAAACTGTGAATGGGGTTGCAGTCCACGCGCTACACGTAGCGTGGGAGGTAATGTTGTGTAGTAAGAAATTAAGCAGAACTTTGGTGGTGGAGCCAACATGATTAGGTTTTGGTCCCTTGAGGCCGCGTGCATATGGAAGCCCATTTGATTGGTCAATATGGGCTTTCTTAACTAACTTCTCAGTGGAACAGTTCAAGGAACAACCTTTGTCGCACACACACATTTCCCTTACAACAAAACCTACTAAAATGACCACATAAATTCCTTCATAGGGACATAGGTTTATAGAGTAGGTTAGTTTCAAGTTCAGTTCCCATTTAAGGGGAAAGGTTCTGAATTCTGATTACTATATATGCTACATGTCAACCTTTTTTTATGAGTATTTGTCAACCTTTTTATTTTTACATATATATTAAGATAATATTTATTAAACTATAAAGGCCACTCTGGCCTATTCCCTCTAAATTGGAGATAGACTCCATGCCACCACATAAATTAACAATGCTATCACATTCTTTCTACTTGTACCTTTCGGCTACTTTCCTTTTGAGTTCACAACCACTTAAATTTCTAATCTTTAATTTTATGCTCTGTGTTTTCAACTCTATGCATCTTTCTGCATCGTTTCTTTGCTTCTTCTTCTTCTGCTATCTCCTTAATAAATCCTATCTTTACACACACCTAAATTCAAAATTATCAAATTCAAATAGTAAGTTTCAAAATGTGTATTTATAAACCCTCTCATCCAATCTCCTTCTAAAACGTGATCAACTTTATTTTATGAATTAACCTCTTTCAACGTTGAAAGTCCCGACTTTCAAATCGAAAATTTTTATTTATTTCCAACCCCTCTCCCTCTCTCTATTTATCTAGAAATTCTCCCTCTCTTTTATATTATATTTTTATTATTTATCATCTTTTTTTAAAGTTTAGAGCATTACCAAATTAATTTTTT